AATTTTCTAAAAACTATTTTCTAAAAATAGAACCATATTTTTTGTATTTGCACGCAATTGGTTGGATTGATGTGCACAAAACTGAAAACACAGACAGATAGTCTGAGAATTGAGGGACTAAACATCATGGTCTTGAATCTTGAGGGCTTATGGGTAGCTTTTGGTTGTGGTTTTCACTTAGTGCTATTTTGAGAGGTGGGTTAAAAGTCATTTCTTAGTTTTTAACTCACTTGCTTCTCTTACAAAAAAGTTAAAAAAAAATCAAAAAGTAACTTTTAACCATCTTCTCAAAACACTCCTTAATAGTTTAGAATTGCTCGTAGCTTATCTCTCATCTTTGTTTGCAACTTTCTCTCTCTTTCTCACTCGAGTTTTTTTTAATGGCTTCGTTTCCGAAGTAGGTTAGTTTTTTAATTTTTTTAAAAGGGATTAACTATTTTAGTAACAAAAAGTCAAAAAATCACGATAAATTGTCACATTACTTTATCTACTTTTTTATATATCTTTTCATAAAAAATCAAAAAGTTACTGAGTCTCCATTTGGGAAGTGGGTTGGTTTTTTGATTTTTTTGATTATTTTAACCTGGGCTAAAAAACTTGATTTGGGAAGAGCTTTTTGGCTTTTTTGACCTTTTTTTTGTGAGAGAAGAGTGTAACGATTATGGGTTGGATGTGATGTTTTATTTGTTGTGGCTAAAATAATCTATTTTGTCTTTTGTGGCTATTTTAGCCACACACCAACTTGCCAAACAGTTTGTTCCCAAACGAGGTCTTTGGGATATAGAAATTTGTTTGGATTGACTTTTGTTAGCTTTTTTGACTTTTGTAAAAAAAAAAAAAAAAAATGAAATGATTATAGTTTAGATATGATATTTTATTTTATTAATTTTTTTAACGTATTTTGTTTTTGAATGGCTAATTTAGCCCACAATCTCAAAAAAGTCACTTGCCAAACGAGGTTAATGTAAGTTTAGATCTACTACTATTGTTGTTGTTGAACACAGATTGATTAAACTTTATCTATATGACATATAGATCTATAGTGATATAGAAAGATTTGAACAAATAAAAAAAATTAAATAGATAGTCAAATTTGATCAGATAAAGGAAAAAAATTAAACAGATAATCAAAAAATTTGAACAGATAATAAATTTGGACATGTAGAATTTTATTTAGACAAAATGTGTAAATAGATAAGGGAAATTTGAATTGAAAAAAATAAAAAATGAAACAAAAAAGGTAAAGGAATTGAACAGATAGGAAATTTTTTGAATAGATAGTCAATCGATAAATTAAGAGATAAAATTAAAAACAAAATATCTTTCAAAACAAATAAAAGAACTTCTCACCAAACCATTTTGTAAATGGTGGATTTCTCACTGACAAAAAAAATCTGCTGAATCTAATATCTTATACTCTCCTTAGTTTGGATTTATCATCAATTTAATCAATTTATTTTTCAAATGCAAGTTATCTTAAATTTATTTTTTAAATTCTAAAATTGTGTTATCGAAGTAAAAAATAACATGTGTTTAATAAATAAAAAATAAATTGCAATGGGTTTAATAAATAAAAAAACTTCATTTTTTAATGTTAGTTTTTTTTTTTTTTTTTAATTTGCATTCTTCAATAAATAAATAAAAGGGCAAACTTTACTTTATCTTTTACGATTTGGGTCATGTGCAGTTTATCCCCTAACGTTTGAAAATTATCACATAACCCCTTATAGTTTGTGGTATAAAGTACACCGTTAAACTTGTTAACGATTTAATGAAAAAGATTAAAATATTCTTTTATTTTTGCCGTTTATTTATAAGGCAAAGTGCACTTTAACCCCTTATGCTTTATTCTATGTGCGATTTACTCTCCGTTAAATTTGAAAATGAGTATATAACTCTCTTAATCTGCTACGTGTTTTACACTTACTGTTAAGTTGAACAAAATGTTTAACGGTGTAGTTCAGTTCACAAACCATATGAGAGTTATGTGGACATTTCAAAACGTTAAGAGATAAACTACATACGACTCAAATCACAAAAAGTAAAATGAAATTAGCCCTAAATAAAAATGAGCAAAAAGCAGGTAAAGAAAATTATTCACATATTTCTTATAACATGAATTGATATGGATACTTTAGAATTAGTGACTTTATGGTTTTGTGTCTTTCATTTTGTTTTTTATTTTTTAAAACTTGAAGTGAGTCCATCTTTAATATCGCAAATCTTTCTCGATCCGAGAAAGAGTATGCATCTTATAATTATACAAGAAAATTATACAATTTTATACTTCTTTAGTCATAACTAAAATATAAATAAATAAATAAAAATTATAACTAAACACAAAAAAATTATAATCAAATATCTCAAAATAATATCATAACTAAAGAAAAAAATTGATTATAACTAAAAAAGAAAACGACGTAACAAAGGATGATTATGATAGGTGAGTGTGTATAATAGAATTATCCCGCAAATCCTCACCCTCTACTAAGATAAGAAAATTTATTCAATACTTGGGGCGTGATGTAACAATACTCCATAAGAGTATCAAATAAGTTTCCAATCCAACATTATACGAAGTCTACTACATAATCATAACAGAGTAACGGATTCTATCATACTATTTCATAGTATCTTCCGAATAATTCAAGTTTTTTTTTTAAACGAATAAAAGAATAAATACTTAAACATCATAAAAATTGGACATAAACCGTAACCATGTTAACATACTTCCTGTTTACAGAAAAATGTAACAGAGACAACAGTGCTTTTGTTTTTGGAAAACAGTTTCATAAATTAATGCCAGGGCTTGGTCCTGATGGAGGCACTGGAACGCCCTTGGGCAGCATTGCTTCAAACTCCATGAACATCTTCTTCACCATTGAACGGTCATTCTTGAAATCTTCAGAGTCAACCCCACAAGAAGATATGAGCCGTGCTTGTGACCCTCCAAGGAGAGAAAAAACAATGGCCAAAAACACGAGAAAGCCTAGTAATTTCTTGATGAATACAACAGAGCACCCCATGTTTATGTGGTCTGAGTTTGAGAGTACCCAACTGCTCTTTCGCAACTAAGAGATTTCATATATCGATCCTGCCGGCTTTGTGAACTGGGATTTGGTAATATGAACACACACGAGACGTGTCACAGGTAATTTTCCCTTGGATAAACATTGCCGGCAAAATGGTCTGTTAATACAAACTGATTATAACTAGAAAAATATGGTAGTTAGAAATCCAACAGGCCGGCTAAGCTTTCTCATTTACTTTTTTGGTGTGTTTCAGGAAAATGGTTATACAACTATTTTAGTTATGGTAGATTACAGATCACATCTCATTAGCAAATGCAAAACTAAAAATAGTTGACCAGCCGTCCACCAAGATTGTGTTGAGAGATTCTTAAATGTTTATTGATGGCAACCTAAAAGAGAAGATGCGAAGTTTTAAAAGTCACGAATAGTAAAGATTTGAGTATAAGGTCTAAAATTTTAAGCTTGAGTCACCCTAAGAGCTATTAGAGATTTATCTAGTCGTTAACTTCAAATTTGATTGTCCCGATATGAAGTAACTAATTAAAAACTAAGATCTTTGGATGTAATTGAACCTCTATTCGACTAGAGGAGTATTAACTGGAATTTACCATAACTCTCACTCTCATAATTATATAGATCATGCATGAAAAAATTATATTGATTTGATATGCATACTTACATGATTTGATTGGATTTATTTTTTTAAAAAATAGATGACAAATATAATTTTAAAAATAAACAAGTCATTGTTTTTAAAAATAAATATGGTAAAATTTTATGACAATAAATATGAAATTAATTTAAGGATATATTACACTTATATAACCCCTGACGTTTGGGAAATTACACTAACCCCCCATGTCATTGTAATTATTTAGACGGAATGAAGACATTGAACTCATGCACTTTCTCTTTTTTTTGCTTTGCCTTATTTTTTTTTTTTCCCTTTCCTTTACTCCTTTTTTTTTTTTTAATGTAATTTCTTCTGTTTTTCTACTAGGAGTTGTTACCTTTTATATAAGCAGAGGTGTTTGTGAAATGAAACTATTAACCACAGGGATGGGAATGTAATTTCCAAAACGTCACGGGGTGGTAGTAATTGGACCAAACCTTAAGGGGTGTCAATGTAATTTACCCTTAATTTAATCTTTTTATCTATAAATAATTTGCATATAAAATGAACAATTTCGTAGTGGGCACCACCAGCCTCAGCAGCGTCCACTTGTGAGAATCCCTCATTCATCAAGAAAATTTGATGGTAACCCCTGCGGTTTCATTGTATGGGTGCTCTTTGTTCCATTAATTTAATGCAAGTAGCAATCTATGTTTTGGCCCAACAAGTTAGATCACCATCATGTAATGACATGAAACCTGACCTGACCTCAGAATTTTTTAATATCAACAAAGATCAGCGTAAACACAATCCAAAGAGTTGACCACAAAACTACCTCGCCGGCCCATTTGTGTTTAGGTGTGGTTCAACGCTTGCCCTAGGGTCACCTATTGGTTTGGTGGAACATGACATCCACATTGCACACCAACACGGATCAGCATACTTCATTCGCGCTCACCCTCTCAGTTCTATTGACACTCCCTCTCCTGCTCTGGCTCTGCATAGAAAAGGAAATAAAGACCAAGTATGATTTTTTGCATTTACACCCTAGTCGCTATTGTTTCCGGTGTACAAATTTCAAAATTCTATTCAAGTACAACATTCTGCCATCAATTTCAGAATGACGTTCATCATTTAAGTCTTTGGCAAACTCTGAACTGCAGCAATACAGCGAGAAGCAGAAGAGTTTCTGGAGAGTAACAAACCTCCACTTGCAGCTTCCACCAGGTGACGTGAATCCTAACACAAGCACAAGGGGAAGGAGAAAGACGCAATAAAGCCAAGAGTTTCAAACATGGCACTCAACCATCATGGAGAATTCTTAATTGGTCATGCGAGATCAACACAAAGACTCGATGAACAATATAAACTCTTCAAATATCAAAGAGTCAAATCTGACATTAGCCATCAATCAAGTCAAGCTGTGAACAAGTTTCTGCAATGTACACTAATATCTGCACCACACTGTTGTATGACAGAAACATACAAGGTGTAACGGAAAAAAAAAACATCCACAAGGGTCGATTGTCCTGAAGCAACAAATATTCCTATTCATCGTGCTATTAATGGTTTCCTTTACAAGTACACATCTACAATAAGTTACAGACATTTGTCATGAAGATGGTTTACATGTCATTATCACCCCCACTCCCCTGAGCATCTTTGTCTCTACCCATCAGCACGATAGAAGTGCAGCAACTTTAGCGGTGACACATTTTCCTGAAATTAAGTGGGGAAAAAAAATGAAAAACAAAATTAACAGCCAGAACATTATGTAGTGAACTAACAACCTAAATTATCATAGCTTTTCATTTCCCAAATAAAAATAATTCAATCAGAAATCTTAGAACCTGAACTAGCTCATCAGACTCAGAAGGGAAATGAAAGCCCGTGGAGCAATTCTGCAACACCTCAGGACTTTTCATCCAAGCTCTTCGTGCATCACTCACTTTAATTTTATATCGGAACATCTGAAATGACAGAGGAAACCTCAAACTTTAAAGATCAACAATGATTTAAATACTGAACACAATAACCTAAAACGATTGAAGGGAAGAGAGAGTCAAGATAATATTAGCAAATATGAAATAAAAGTTTCAAGACATGAGGAGAGGGAGAAACAGGGTTGAGGGGGAATAAGAATATAAATTGCCCATAATTTGCAAACCTCGGAAAGAGGGACGGTTGGTTTCTCCAGCTCATCTCCATCAATATTTATACCAGTGCCCTGGCACTCCGGACAGAACACACAGTGAATTTGCTTGCTTAATGCTTTTATCTCAACCTCCTCCCTGGATCCATTGCACTTGGCTCCAGCCTTTCTCCTAGATCTCCGTTTCACTTTGGGACCGACTAACTGGTTGGTGTATATCTCTAACTCACAGAGAAGTATCCAGTGCATAAGGCAGGAAATATGAAATGCATGAAATGCCTGTATGGGAAAAAACTTGTTTAATAATCTATACATATTTTGAAGGTTTGGAGATAAAAAGGCCATATGATTATCCAATGAATATCAACACAATACAAAGCAAATATATACATATATATTAAATTAATGAAATTTTGCTCAACGAAAAATAGACACAGGATGAACAGAAACATTTACCCCATTCCCATTTCTACTACTGCAAGCAAGTCTTCCAGTCTTCCTGTTCAGGAGTGTTGCCACATCTTTACCTGGAAGCATCTTTTGTTGGCAGATATCACACATTCTCTCTGCAGCTACACGTTGCTGTCGCCTCAACTCTCTCCTCAGAGTTTTACTTAATATAAATCTTGAATGCAGAACTTGATCATCATATCCATTTAACATCATTCTTGAATTGAAACTATTCGAAGTTTGAGAATCTTCACCAGAAGAATCATATTGATTATTCAAAGACTCACTAATATCCTCTGGATCAGAGAACGACTTCCTCCTTTTCTTTCTAGCATCCTCACCATTCTCAATTTCTGCCCGGGGACTAGAAGAGAGCAAATACCTCACATCATCAATTAACCCCTTTCTACCTAAATTGTAATTGTAAGCAAAGGTAACGACAGCAAAGTCATGCTCTGGAATTGAAGTGGTGCCCATACTCTGATTCGATCCAAGCCATTCACACCATATTCTACAAATCTCATTTGGAACTTCATCCTTCAAGAAGAACCTAGCAGCTATTTGTCCAACACCCATGAACCTCACTTCCAAATCAGAAATTTCATTGTCATGCAAAACTCCCGGCACAACCAAATCATAACTGCCCCCATTAGTCATACACTTATCATGTGAACTATCATCACAATCAGTATCAGTCGTATGCCCATTCGGTGAACTAGAATCAACATCAACTCCTACAGAGTCAAATTCATCGTAACAAAGAGACCCATTATGAGAAATATTTCCATTACTATTGGGGCTTAAATTTTTTCCATGACAAACAATAGCAAGCTCATTTCCATTGCCATTTTGATGACCTAACAACATAACTGGATCAGCACTTGAGTTGAGTAACTGCTTATCATTCTTGGATGGACCATGAAAGAAAAGTACACCGTCATTAAATGGCCAAGGGTTTGGTTTTAGCAAGGTAGCTTTAGCAACAGCAAGCCTTTCATTGTGGAGATTACCCTTCAAATGATCAAACAACACATTATCGCTATAACACGGAGCCAGACACAGTGTGCAAAAGAATATGAACCTCTTCCCATCTTCCCTAAGTTCAACATAAGTGTGACCTTGCAACCTCACATTCCGAAGAGTTGTTCTCGCTAACTGTTCCCTCAAACTACAAGCATTTGTCTTCGGAAACCCTAATTCTCCCCTTCCCGCCATTCAACTTTTCAAACCCTAATACCCAAATTCACAGGTCCCACAAACAACAACATAGAACTTTCAACAAGCAATTGAAACCCTAGAAATCCAAAATTTCACAATACAAATTCCTAAACTACTAAAAATTCCCAAATCTTAACAAGTCCATCCACAACAGAAAACCACAAAAAATAACAGAAAACCACGAAATTGTCAATTTTCATGCGAAATTAACAGCGAGAAGCACGGAAATTCATGGAAAAGGTCAAGATCTCCTGACTTTCAAATCTTCAAATTTCGATTCAATTGGCGAAAACAAGATTGAAACAGACGATTTGAGACCACAAATTGAAAAAATTTAACACATCCTAAACTTACAACTCGGTTGCGTACTCTGTATAGAGTTTTTAGGAAACCGTAGAGCTATTCGGTCAACGGCGAGAAGCGCTTCACTAACCATTGAGAGAACGTCATGCGAGGAAGACTCCTCCATTGACGACATCTCCATTTCTTGATGCAAACAAAAACGCTTCGAATTCCTGAAGAGAGAGAGAAAGCAGAGAAGATGATGCGACGAAACTCAATCGAAATTGGGGTAGATTGGTAATGAATTGAATTATTATTATTATTGTTTTTCAGAGAGACAAAAAAGCGATTGGGGAGCTTATTTTTAGGAGGTTGGTAATAAGGGGATACGGATTTGTTGAACCGTTTGATTTAATGATGTGAATGTGATGATTTGTGATGTGTGGTTATGATTGGTGTTGCAATATGTTAGGGTGGAACGGGGAGTAGGAGATGAAAGCGGAGATTCGAATTTTGAGAATCTGGATGCCCCTTATCAATCGGGTGGGGTTTAGATAAGGATAACTAATGATGAAAGGTGAAATGTTACTGTAAGGTCGACCTCACGTACCTATTAATGATCTCCAATTAGATCCAATGGTCAACGTATATCGACAGCGGATTTGCCTTAACCAAAAACAGCGGCGGATAAAAATTAAATTAATTTATTAATTATAATTATATTATTTTATTATATTTATTTAGAGAAATTATATATAAAAAAATCACAGTTTTGACCCTTATATCAAATAAATCTTGATTTTTTTTTTATTTTGTCAATTTAAATCTTAAACTTTCTTATTTTCAATCTAAATTATTTAATTATTTTTGTTAAATATAATCGATAAAAAAAATAAATATTTTAGTTATTAAACTCAATAAAAATAAATATTTTAGACATTTTATGTATACTTACATTGATTTAATAACTAAAGAATTGTTTTTTTTAATCTGTTTTAGTTAATGAAATTAAACAAATGATTTAAATTGAAAAAAAATTAAAATATTAAGGTTTAAATTAATAAAATTAAAAATTAGAGTTTATTTTGTTATAAGGGTCAAACACTACTCTTTTTTTTTCTTTTTTGTAATTATCCCTATTTATTTTTAAAGAATGGATGATATATTTTGGATGATATATTTTAAATCCATATTTATTGTTAATTTTTTTTAAAAAAAAAATATGATAAAAAATGGGACTACAATTATAGCTACCGTTAGACTTTCTCTTAAAAAAAATATGATGTACATATAAATACTTATAAGATTAATGAATTAAATTTTCAGGGAGTCGAGTCATAAATAAATTAAGAATGCATTTGGAAAAATAGAATGGGAAGTGATTAATACCCCCTTCAATCAGCATCCCCACCACCCCCCACACACACGTGGCGGATGGTGATTGGAAGAGAAGGAAAAAAAGAAAAAAAAAAAAACTGGCTAATCAAAAAGAGGGAGTCAAAGGAGGTGCCTCCTTGAAGGAGTCAAACTCATTTTTCAAATAAAATAGTAGTTAAAATAGCCTCAATCAACAAAAAGTCAAAAGACCTAAAAATAAAGAAAAGGAATATCACGTGATTCGCATACTACCACCATAGCTAGTTAAATGACAATTTTGCCCCTTTAAAGCATGCTACATTAGCAAGAACTTTGTTATTTGGAAAAAAAAAAAAAAAAGAGAGAGAAGATTTATTAGGATAGAGACAATTTTGGTCATTTCTCATTCAAATACATTTTTTAATATAGCAATCAATCAAAAAATTTAACTCATCTTTTCAAAAATAAAAATTAAAAAAACTTATCAAAATAGTGACATAACCACAAAAATTCAAAAAGCAGCCCCATTCCCAACGCAATCGAGTTGAAAATTATATTACTCTATCACAGCATAATCGTGATCCCCGTATCACATCATAATCACATGCCTTGAAAATGTATACTGATAATGTGCTAATTACATATTTGTATTGGGCATATGCTCACCCAAAGATATTTTCAAGTGTGGGTGTTAATTTGAAGCCTTGGGGTGTCTCGGGACTTTCCCTTGTGTTTTGTGGTAGTACTCTTTTGCAAGGCCATAATGGCATTGGTTCATTGAGAGTTAAGGACCGGATAATATTTCATTTTGTATAAGTAATTACTAGTGTATCACTCGTATTATGCATGAAATAATTATAAATATTTATATTTATTTTAATTTTTTTAATATATAAATTATATTTTTTAAGATTTTTATAAAAGTAATTAAACAATTTTATCACTAAGCATAGTGTACATGAGAAATTAAAAAGGCTACTGTAGTAACTATATACTAGCTGTATTTATAATTATTTGTATAAGGAGATTTTAAATGCTAATCAGGTATTTTAACCAAATCAATAAATGCAGGCATGTGGATTGAAAAAAGTTAATAAATGCTGATAAGGGAATTTTGACCAAATCAATAAATGTTGAGGGTTTTTTTTTTTAAATAAAAAATTTAGAAAATTAAGATTAAGATATTGGAGCTCCCACAAGACTTGAGATTTGACATGGATAGGCCCACAAGGCATACGGCCCACAGCAAACCACCCCAAACCCATCGCTTGGGACCAATAGCATAACCCGGTTGGCAAAGCCCAGGACAGCTGGAGGCCATCTAGACATGGAGGGCCAATGGCATTCGGGCACATGGCAGGTGGAACACAGGCCACATCAGCAGACAAAGATCTGCAGAGTTATTACCACAACACATCACCATTAATGCAGCCCATCACAGCATTTATTTCGACAACACCTCCCCGTCGGAACAGAGCCCCCTCACCCTGAACAAGGTAAGCTACGGCATAGGCTTTCGGCGAAAGGGGGCACGTCACAATGGACAGTGAAATGATTACCAAATGATATAAGCAAGAATAGAAAGACAAGAGGAAGGTTAAGCTTTTTATCTCTCTCTCTTTCTCTCTCTCTACATTTCCTTCTTCCTTTACTGATTCTCTCGCCGGAGGATTCACTAGGGGACTGCCCCGTTCCCCTTTGGACTTGCTTGCAGGTCATTTGGTGAAATCATCACCCTGAACCGGAACTTGAAGAGCTTGGACCAGCCAGACCCATCCACCCAGGACGGACTGTATTATCAGTTGGCGCCGTCTGTGGGAACTTTGTGGTTTATTCGTGCGCTAGTTGTGTTCACTATCGCCGGAGCACTCCTTTCTCACCGTTACCTTTTCCTCTCACCCGTCCAGGTGTATGGTCACGACTAGGTCCATGGCTTCTCACCACAATACCGCCGATCAGCAAACAGACCATTCCCATCCAAACAACCCACCACAATACATCATCGAACTCACTAACAGCATTAACCGCATGGCTGAGCAAAACCAGGCCCTGATCAGTGCTTTACTCCAAAGAAACCTCTCCGTTCCACCTCCAAATATCCCACCCAACCAAGAAAGAACCCCAGGCCACATTGCTCCACAACCCCCTCCGCTCAACCCAGAAAGTTTACAACCCCCTCATTCTCCACATGTAAGCCTACCACCTCCACCTCCACCTCCACCTCCACCTCCTCACCCGTCAGTCATAGCACTGGCTCTTGAGGGGGAAGCCAACAGTGTCCAGCCTCCATTGACCGACCATGGCGACAACATTCCCCTCTGGGACGCTGAACTCCGAGCTATGAAACTCCAACTACAAGGGGTCATGCAGAACATTCAGTACAAGCCCTCAGTCACCGCCAATTCGTCTTTTGTTGCCTCCATCCGCGACAAACCATTGGCCGCCAAGTTCAAGATGCCTACCATTGACTCCTTTGATGGCACGACGGACCTAGTCGACCATCTAGAAACCTACTGCACCCTCATGATCCTCCATGCTTTCCCTAACAAGATCATGTGCCGAGTTTTTCCCGTGACACTGAAGGGATCAGCTCAGTTGTGGTTTAGCCAGTTACCGGCGGACTCCATCTCCACCTTTCAACACCTCAGTGACTCTTTCCTGAGCCATTTTATTGGAGCCCAGCGTCAGAGACGCCCAGCCACCCAACTCCTTAACATTCGTCAGACCGAAGGGGAGTCGCTCCGCAACTTCGTCACCCGCTTCAACACCGAAGCCCTTCAAGTAGCAGAGAATGACGACAAGGTCATCCTCACGGCTTTCATGGCCGGCCTGCGGCCGTCCGACTTTCTTTTCTCCCTCTCCAAAAACCCTCCAACCACCATGGCTGCCCTACTATCCAAAGCCCAGAAATACATGAATGTTGAAGACTCCCTGGCCGCTCGGCAGGAGCCGATCACTAAAAATCCGACCCCCAGAGACAAGAGGAAAGACTTAGAACCCAGAACCGCCCAGCATAATAGCCAAACACCCCACTACAATGACCGACCCCTCCAAGCCGATCGGTCGGCTCCGAATCGACCGCCCGGTCGGTTTGAGCGGTACACACCTCTCAACTCCCCCATGGAACACGTCCTCAATCAGATCCAGCGGGACTACCCCCTCAAGTGGCCCCTACCTTCACGAAACCCTTCCACTCGGAAAGATCAGTCCAAATACTGCCGTTTCCACCAAGACCATGGCCATACCATCGACGAGTGTATTAACCTCAAAGATCAGATCGAGACCTTCATACGCCAAGGCCGCCTCAGCCGATTCACAGACACCCGCCCTCCACAGAGGCAAAGAACCGACCTTTCCAGGAACAATCGCCGACACACACCACCCCGCAATCAAGCCCCACCTCACCAAGGCCACGATCGCCCACCACCACAGCCTCGGCCTCCAGGCAATCCCCCTCCACCAGTCGGAGAAATCAGAGTCATTTCAGGCGGCCTTGCTTGCGGGGGACCATCCCGCTCGGCTCAGAAGGCAGAGCTCAGAAAAATCAGGCAGGGCTCAAACAAAGCAGTGGCGACGATGGACCGACCTCCCAAACAGTCAAGACAATGGATCGAACCCATCGCCTTCATAGACACTGACTGTGAAGGAGTCCGTTACCCACATGATGACCCCCTTGTCATTTCCGACATTCTCTCCAACTACAAGATCAGACGAGTCCTCATAGACAACAGCAGCTCTTCAGACATCATCTTCCTCAATTGCTTCCGCCAGCTCAAGATTGGGGAAGAAAGCTTGTCTCCTCTCCAAACCCCTCTGGTCGGTTTCACTGACGACCGTGTGACCTCCATCGGCTCCATCGATCTACCCATCACCGTTGGCGAACACCTGAGGCAGACCACTAAGCTGCTTACCTTCCTTGTGGTCGACTGCCCCTCTGCTTACAACATCATCATTGGCCGCACAGCCCTCAACGCCTTCCAAGCCATCACATCCACCTATCACCTTG